TCACCATCCTACCTCTTAGGATTTGTTTCATCATTTATTTATATTAATTCCCCGACTAGTATTTTGATACTAATTGGATAACCTTAGAACATGCCAAGTTCCTATTTCCCAATTTGCATCTCATTTCCATTGGTTTCTCAACTCAAATATGGTTTAACCTCAATATCAAAAATACCACTTTAATCCATTCATGAATTTCATACATGAAGTAAAGTATATTTTATCACAATGTCATCATAGTAATTCCATTAACATGTCGTTCCATTCATTTCACATAATCATACACAATTATTCTAAATTTGTATATCATGCTTCACTTACTCATATTCATATTATTTTCATTTAGGCATTATTAATCATTAATAATCCATGGAAATCCCATCTAATTACTTTAGGCATTCTTATGAAATTAACTCACTAATTATAAGCAATATAGTCAGCCATCCTCACCTTATGAAGTGCTGAAATAGTTGCTTTTGCTAAGCCCCTCGATCAATCCCCGTTCTAGGCCGATTGAAGGTGTAAAACTGAACTGCAGGGCAAAAGCCGGGCGGCTTTCGTGGTCTGCAGAAACGGGCGGCTCCCTTAAAGTGGCGGTTTCCGGCGATTTCGACTCCTATCGATTCACCAACTCTTCTAAGTTAAATATCACCACTTTATATCAATATTCTACACTTTTAAACGTGTAGAACATCATGTTTAATCCACCATATGATTTCTTAAAAATAATACATCATAAAACTAGTTAAAGAGTAGGAATTGTGTTCTTACCCCTTCTCCTAGCTTTCCCTTTTTGATTTCCCTTCCTCCTTGCTATTTCTTGAGCTTGGTCCTGATGAGAAGGCCTTCCTAGAGCTCTCTCCTAGTGATAGAGCCGAGTGCTGCACAATGAGTGAGGGGGATGTATCTCCATCCACTCAACTCACCAAGATAATGCATGCAAGGACATGGGGGTATGGGATTTTGTCTCTTGGAGACTTCCCACCTACTAGGTACACCCCCCCTGTTGTTTCCTTGTCATTTGCAGCACATTGGGTCGTGGGGTGGCCCCCACTTATGTGGGAGGTCATCCCATTATGTCCCGGTGTGTATAATTGGCCCCGAAAGTGGTATTTTCGGACTACTTTAGTCATATTTTATTCTATCGGGTCGGATAAAATATACCACGCGTTCCCAACAATGTTTGGGCCTTTAGAAACGATGTACATTCCCCAACATTAATTTAGGAGTCCCCGAAACTCATTTCGGGCTGTTATCCGCTAAATCACCAATACCGGTAATTGGGCCCCGTTTGACCAACCGGTCAACTCCATGCCTTTCTTATGGCCCAAATAAAATATCCACCACCATATATATTATCTAGACCAAGATGAATATAATATGTGGTTCGGGAATTACCGGGCGGTCCCCGTTCCCGCTGTGGGCCCCACATGCAATTTACTATTCACGTAAAAGAAATAATAAAAATTTACAATTACGCAAATTCATAAATCATCTCTCAAGGTTTATTACATAATTTACTAAAAGTAAATATGCTCGGGGTCGGTGTTACACTATAACAATACTTCGGCGTTGGGAGCCGGTCCGAAAATCCATGCAACGGTTGCCATCCGGTACAGGAATAGCTAAGACCGGTCTTGAGATATGGAATCACGCGGAGGCCGATGGGCCGTTCGTGACCTGAGGACGACGGCAGTGATGAAGCCGATCGTCATACAGAGGCGATGGTCACCATCCAGGAAGGGATGACGAGCCCGATCGCTAGCGCAAGACGCTCGACGCTGAGGAGCCAGTCTTGATGTAGGTAATCACGCTAAGGCCGAGGGTGTAACACCGTTCCCAATTATAGTTAATTTTATATAAATCTTGTATTGAACCTTATGAATTGGTTGATGAATTTATGAGCTTGTAAATTTTTGTTATTAGTTTTCCGTGAATAGTGAATTGCATGTGGGGCCCACATCAGGAGCGGGGACCACCTGATAATTCTGAGACCACATATTATATATGTCTTGGTCTAGATAATATGTATATGGTGGTGGATATTCTAGTTGGGCCATGGAAAATGCATAGGGTTGACCGGTTGGTCAAACGAGGCCCAATTACCATTATTGGTAGTTTAACGGATAACAGTCTGAAATGAATTTTGGAGACTTCTAAATTAAAGTTGAGAAATTTATATTCATTCTAAGTGCCCATATGGGTTGAGAATGTGTGATATATTTTATTTGGCCCGATAAAGTAAAACATAATTAAAACAGTCCGAGAAATACAACTTTCGGGACCGATTATACAGTTCGGGACATAAAGGGATGACCTCCCACATGAGTGGAGGACACCCCTAATTTTTGTGTTCTCAAAGTTGACTTGAGGGGATGCATAGTGTGGAGGAGTGGTGTAAATTGAGTGAGAGTGATTGGTTGGTATAAGGATGGCCATGGGTGGACCTCCCCTCTCAATTATCTTGCAATTGAGACAAAAGATACACATCACCTCTCACCCCTACCATCTAGCTCAACCAAGCATCCAAGAAAAGAGAGAGAAGCTCAAAATATCATCCTCCATTGCTGCACAATTCGAGCTCAAGCAATAGGAGTCCAAGGAGGAAGATTAAAGAAGGAAAAACTTAGGAAAAGTGTGAAGGATTAAGGTAATGACCTTATAATAACTTTTCCTCTACTTCTTAGCTATCATATGACTTATATATCATATGGAGGACCCCTAGGATTGTTCTACATGTTCTAAGTCCAAGAACAAACTTAGAAGCCAAGTGACCGGTTCGCCGGAAAATAACCTTTTAGAGGTTATTTGTATTGATATGGGTTTTGTGATGATGAAACTTTGTTAGGAACTTGTCTAAGGTGTTCCTAGCACTTTCACGGAGTTGAAAGAGTTGCCAGAGTTGTCACCGGAGTTCTTCAAAGTTCGTCGGAATTTCGCCGGAGTTCAACCGGGAAGGGTAGAACTTCTTAAAAGCTCATTGAAGGTGAGTGGATGGCTTAATGTCTTGTAACTCTTGGATTAAGCATGAGATTACCTAAGTAAATGCTATATGTGTTCATAATGATGTTTAAAATGGTTTAAGCATGTGATTAGCCAAGATGATTAGGCTTATGTGAGATGAACCATAATGATTATGCATGAAAAATGATATGAAAATGATGTTTTGGATGGCCAAAATTGAAAATATTGATTGTTTAAGACTTAATTCAAGAAGAAAGTGAACTGGCGCCGGTTTAGGCTATAACCGGCGCCGGTTTGAGTACGGGGCAGCCAAATTATTTAAATTAAATATGAACCGGTGCCGGTTTGGGCTATAACCGGCGCCGGTTTGGAATTGTTTGTCTCGAATGTTGATTTTTGTGCATGGTTTTGCATGGATTGTTATGCTTAGACTATAACACTTGGTTTAGTCTTGATAAATGATTATGATATAGACCCTATCTATGTTTGATAAGCGGCAGATCATAGAAATGAACGTAAGATGGTGGAGAACCTAAGGACAACGATACTGTCCTCAAAACTCGGTAGATAAACAATGGAGACCCAAGGACGACGGTACTATCCTAAAAAATCGGTATATAAACGGTGGAGACCCAGGGATGACGGTACTGTCCTCAAACCTCGGTATATAAATGGTGGAGACCCAGGGACGACGGTATTATCCTCAAAACTCATATGTATAAATTGATTTGAACCAGGAGGAGTCCCATACACTCATAGGATATGGGTGGGTTGGGATTTAAGTTAAGGATATTGACTACTACTCCCTCCGTCCCATTTTACTTAGCCAATCTTGACTTTTCAAGTCAATGGAGTCTAACTTTGACCGATTATATGTTTATATAGAGAAAGTATTAATAATATGAAAATGATATGAAAATGTTCTTTGTTAAAAATACTATCATAAAACCATAAAATTATTAAATTTTACATAAATATATTAGTTTAAATAATTGGTCAAAGTTAACCACCTTTGACTGGAAAAGTCAAAGATGGCTAAGTAAATTGGGACGGAGGGAGTATGATTTTTCCCAAATAAACAATGACCTACTGGTCGGGTATTTCCAAGTGTATATATATACTGATATGTATTTTATAACTTGGGGGAAAATACTATACGTGTATGTATCACCCTATGTTTCGGTCTTATACTTGAAACGTTAGTTATGCTACATTTAGCTTGCTGCTCGCTCGGTATTTGTACTGACCCCTTCGGGGGACACCATTTTTCATGTTGAAGCTAAGGCTTGCTACCTGCACCTTCTTACGGGTGAACTCAATTCAAGGAAGACATGGTTCATGCTTTCTTATTTCCTTTCAAACTACCAAACACCTGCTCATGGATATTTGATTGACTATAAACTATTTTAGGCCTGTGAGCCCATGTTTTGGCTGCTTGTGGCCCATGCTTTACGATTGAATATTTCCGCTATTCATTGGTTTAAATGTGATGTTGTTATGTATGTTTACTATTGAGTATGGATAGATTATGTGCATGGACGCCTTGTATGACTAAGTCGCGTTGACTTGCACGTGACATCACTTGGTTATACGGCGGTTGTGCACGCATTTAGATGTGGTCTGGGGCATGACAATTAACTGGTATCAGAGCCATTTCAGTTCTAAACTATGTAATCAACCTCTCATGAGAGATTTTACGAAAGAGTTTTACCGAAAACCATGAGCATTGTATTTTGACGTTTATAGGACTATTGTTACCTAGGTTGCAAGGTCTCTAGTTGTTAAGATGGTACCCTTAACAATTGATATGGCGGTGAATTGGGCCAATATGTGTCTATAACGTGTTCAGTCAATTGACATTGATGTGGAGTCTAACGACTCGTTCAAATTTCTTTGTAGAAATGGAGGGTAGACGTATGCCGACGAGAAACAACCCTAAAGGACTTGATGCGGGAGCCTCAGTAGGGGCTAGCCGGGCCACATTCCGTGGTTCTAGGGGAAGAAGAGGAGGTCGTGGAGGCTGTGGGGGCCACCGTGCCCAAACAGTGAGCGATGGCCATGTAAGCTCGGTGTATGAGACTAACACTGAGAACTATGACTCGACTTTTGTTCTTGAAACGGAGCATGAGGAGACCCCATATGATGGGGTTGACTTCTACACAGATGATGAAAACAATGATGAGAGTGATGCCCGATTCGCTCAAATGGGGGAATTGCTCGAATGGTATCAAAAGGAGAAACAGAGGAGGGATCTTAGGCGCCAAGCGAGGCGTGGCTCTCAAGGAGGCTCAGGTCAAGGAAGCCGGGGAGCTTCAAGGGCCGTTTCTGGGACGTCTCAAGGTGGACGTGGAGGAGATTTTTGTGTAAGGATCTCCAAATATCTCAAGGAGGCTAGGGCCTTGGGGTGTAGGTCCTTCGATGGCACCGACGATATTAGCGTTGCCGCCGATTGGATAAAGAAGGTGAAAGACGCATCGAGAGACATGCAAATAACGCCCGACGTGAAGTTGACTGTTGCTTCACGCTTGCTTGAAGGAATCGCTTCTACATGGTGGGAGAGTGTAGAACGAAAGTACCGAGGGACTATCACATGGGCGAACTTTGAACAGAAGTTCTACGCCCAATACTACTCCGACTACGAGGTTAATGTGAAGCGTAGGGAGTACACGAACCTCAAGCAGAAGGAAGGTGTGACTGTCAAACAATTGGAGCAAAAATTCAGAACCTTGGCGAGGTTCTTACCAGAGTATGCTGCCGATGAGGACCACATGACTGAACATTTTTGGGATGCATTACTGTTGGACATCCGTGATCGGGCCACATACTCACGTCACATGACTTTTAATGAGGTGGTGGAACAAGGTATGCTTGGGGAAACCCAATGGAATGAAAGGAAAGAAAGAGACACCGAAGAGGCAAAGAAAAGAAAATGGAACAGTTCGAGACCGCCCGATCTTTCACGGAAGAACAACCACGAGGGAGGTGGTTCGTTCAAGGCGCCGGCACCACCGGCGAAGAGGAATATGGACTCTAAGTGGCACTCGTCCCCTTCTCACAAGTCGGGGCCGCCTAAATGTGCTAACTGTTCAAAGAACCATTTCGGGAAGTGCAATGCACCCCCGAGGTGTTACCAATGTGGGAATACGGGTCACATGAAGGCCAATTGCCCATAATTGGGGAGAGAAGGAACTTCGGGAGCCGGAGGAGGAACCATGACGGGGAAGAACTGTGCGGGACTGTCACACGGCGGCACGGGCAGAGGCGGCGCATCAACGATCCAAGCTACGTCCATCAACCAAGGTGGTGCCCATGCGAGGATCTATACGATGACCGAGACCGATGCTCGGGCCAACCCCGACTCCGTCGCACGTAATCCCTTGTTAACGTTTGATAAAGTGTACTTCCTCCGTTCTTTAATTTTTGCAACATTGTAACTATATACATACTCAATAATACTTTTGCACTATTCACAGACCTTACTTTGACCACGATTTTCTACTAATATACATAATCAAATTATTTCGTATAAAATGTTATTGAATTCCTATCAATGTGAATTTCCAAAGTATCAACTTTTTATAATGTTTACTAATACATAATTAAATATAATTACAGTCAAAGTTGTGCGTTGGTAAATGTGAAAGTCAAAGTGTTGCAAGAATTAAAGAACGGAGGATAATATATTGTTAAGTGTTAAAAGTGACAACGGGCTTGTACGGGCTAGCCGGAGTCATTTCCGGTCGGTTTTTTAGCAAAAAGTTGCAAAATATGACTGCCTAGGGGCAAACCGGCGCCGTTCAAGGCTAGAACCGGCGCCGGTTCGAATTAAAATGAATTAATTGGACATGCCATAGGTAAACCGGTGCCAATTTGGGCCATAACCGGCGTCGGTCCAGTTGAAAAAATGCTGGAACAAATCACCGTGCTCGAAACCGGGGCCGGTTTTGATTGAAAATCGATTTTTCCGAAATGCCCAAGGTAAACCTGCACCGGTTTTGCCCATAACTAGTTCTGGTCTGGTTCATTTTTGGGTAATCCAGCTTTGCAGGGGTGAACCGGCGCCGGTACAGCCCAAAATCGGCGCCGATTTGGTGCGTTTTTTACCCGAACGTGTTCGTTTAGGCTGATTTCGATATGATACTTCGAGTAGAGTGTCTTACATCATCTATAAATGCAGGAACACTACTGATCAATGGATGAAACACTAGGATTCTCATTGATACCGAGGCGCAACGTTCATTTGTGAGTGAAGCGTTTGCCGAGAGTCTTGACGTGCCATTGACACCGATGACACAAACCTTGTTAGTCTCCACACCGTTAGGAGATGACATTGAGAGGAACCATTACTATCCATCATGTGAGGTAGAAGTGACGGGTCAACCTTTGACTTATGATTTCATACCTCTAAGTATGTTGGAGTTCAATGCAATCCTAGGGATGGATTGGCTCGAAAAGCATCATGCTCGAGTTGATTGCTACACCAAAGTCTTGGAACTAGAAGATGATGAGGTAAACGTCTTACGTTTCGAGGGAGATTGGGCCGGGGAAGATCTCATGGATGTATCATATCTGTGGTGAAAGCACGGAAGATGGTGAAGAAAGGATGTCATGCGTACCTTGCTTACGTGGTGGATAAGACAAAGAAAGAAGTAGACATCAACGATGTACGTGTCATGTGAAAGTACCCGAACATCTTTCCCAAGGACTTACCGGGGCTTCCACCCGATAGGGACATTGAATTCGTGATCGAAGTAGAGCCGGGGAGCAAACCCATTTCTATTCCTCCTTATCGAATGGCACCGACGGAACTTCAAGAGTTGAAGGTCCAATTACAAGAACTGTTGGACAACGGGTTCATTAGACCTCGTCATTCACTGTGGGGAGCACTGGTACTCTTCGTGAAGAAGAAAGATGGTACACTAAGAATGTGTAGTGACTACCGTCAGTTGAACAAGGTCACAATCAAGATTAGGTATCCTCTACCGACGACATTCATGGACTTGATGAACCGTGTGTTTAGTGAGTACTTAGATCAGTTTGTGATTGTATTCATTGATGATATCTTAATTTACTCAAAGAATGAAGATGAACATGAGCATCATTTGAGGCTTGTGCTTGAAAGGCTAAGAGAGAAGCAACTTTTTGGCAAGTTCTCTAAATGCGAATTTTGGCTTAAAGAGATTGGCTTTCTCGGGCATGTCATATCCGGATCGGGCATTGTGGTGGACAATGCAAAGATAGAAGCTATTATGGATTGGGAACAACCCAAGAATGTGAAAGAGATACGTAGTTTCCTTGGCTTAGCAGGTTACTATCATAAGTTTGTTGAGAAATTCTCCGTGTTGGCGTCACCACTTACGAAGCTCATGAAGAAGGGGGCTAAGTTCGTATGGGACGACAAATGTTAGAAATGGTTTCTTGAGCTAAAGAAACGACTTACTGAGGCACCAATTCTGGCTCTACCCATATAAGGTATAGGGTATGATATTCACATTGATGCTAGCATCCAAGGGCTTGGATGTGTTCTAATGCAAAATGGTAAGGTGATTGCCTATGCTTCTAGACAATTGAGGAAACACGAGGTGAACTACCCTACCCATGACCTAGAGTTGGGGCGGTAGTGTTTGCGCTAAAGATTTGGAGGCATTATCTCTACGGGGAGACATGTCACATCTACACCGATCATAAGAGCTCGAAGTATATATTCACTCAGAAAGAGTTGAATATGAGGCAAAAGAGATGGATGGACTTGATCAAGGACTATGACTTGATCATAGACTATCATCTCGATAAGGCCAATGTGGTGGCCGATGCACTGAGCAGGAAGAGTACGTCGGGGACGTTACTCACATGCTTACGGGCATTGAGAGCGCGCGTGGAGGTGACCACAAGTGGGGCCCTCTGTGACACTTCAAAAATTTAAATAAAAATAATAATAATAATAATTTTTATTAATCAGATAAAATATTACGAAAATAACATTTTAATTATTAATTGAGTCAGACAAAAATTCAACAGTCATAACATTCTAATCAGATAAAATTTCCAAGTTCACGATTTTTTTTAATCAGATAAAAATGGCCCGATAAAAGAAGTTACAATTTAGTATAAAATTAATTTTTATAACTATTTTAGATTGTATAATATACAAAAGATAAACTAAATAAATAAAATAATCTTAATACATATATATATATATATATATATATATATATATATATATATATATATATATATATATATATACACGTACGTAGTAATAGTAATATAACATACATAATATTACATACGTAAACCTACGTATAACTAATATATACCTAAATATAATTACTATACTCCTAAATGAACTACTAGAATAGTATACTCCTACTATTATATTACTACTACTACGTATATAGTATTAAGTAAACTCCTACGGGAGGTAAAACTATTCCCGGTAGCTTTGGCCGGCAACTTCAAAAAAAAAAAAAAAAAATTTAACTCCAACTCCAACTCCAACTCTAACATCTCAGCCTAAAACCCTCATCTTTCCCTATAAATAATAGACCAGAACCTACGTTTTCTTCATCCCAAAAAGCTACGAAATATACATACATATATACGTATATATATATATAAAAAAAATTGCGACCCATCGTTTTAGCCAGAACCAAGTCGCGAAAATACTTCCCAAACCTTCCCCTTCGTAATACGAATCTAACGGAAAAAGAATCGTCGAAAACGGTCGTGAAACGAGGGAGAAAAGCCTCGCCGGAGTTTCGCCGGAGAAAAAACATTTCGACGGAAAACGGAGAAGAAGGAGGAGCTGCCGCCGCCGCCGTACCACCTCTGACCTTCGCCGCCCTGCTACCACCATTTTCGGCCGTTCGCTCGTCCAAACGGAGTAAGTTCTCCCCCCCCCCCCCCTGTTTTTCCCGTTTTCCGGCGAGGTAGTGAGGAAGATGACTGCCAGAATTTTTTTGGGCCTTTTTCTGGATTGGGCCAGAAAATAAAATTTGGCCCAGTTCGGCCCAGTTGCAATAAAAATTAAAAATAAAATAGTAAATAAAATAAATAAAATCTGGAAAAATATAAATTACATACCTAGTATAAATATACATATTCGGACCAACCAGAATTAAAAAATAAATTTTTTAGCTATTTTTAATTGATTTAATGGTAATTGGGCCAATTTATACACTTTTAGCAAATAATTAACTAAATAACGAAAATAATTATGAAATAAATATTAGAGTAAACTAGGATAAATATATGACTAACTAGGACCTTATGGACCATTTATAATTAATAAAAATAAGGTTTAGTATATTTAATTGTAATTAAACCGGTTAATAGATATATGAAATTAGAGGAATAATTATGAGAAATAATTATAAAATAGATATATGGACAACCTAGGTCGAATATAGACCCAAAATATATTTATGGACGGATACTAATTTATAAAGTCGATTCTTAGTCTATTTATTTAAATTAGGCCATATAAAACTAGTTAAGTAATTAAATAAGGAAATATTAATATTAATAGTGATTATTGAATAAAAATTGGATGTTGTAGTAAATTATATTCGGATATTTTATTTCAAATATTAAAAATTAATGTATGAAATTAATAAGGTAATTTTATTAATAGAATGCGAGTAATCAAATAAATCCGAATAACTAATAAATTAAGTTAATAAATTCAAATAATAAAATAAAAGGAGAAAATCGGGTAAAGTAATTACAAATAGAATAAGTGACTAATTTTATCATATTTAATTAAAAAGGTGATTATCTAGAGACCGGATTAGAGGAGGATAACTAGGAGCAACAGGACTTAAGGTAAGTTTCTCTGCCAATCCAAAATTGTTTCCTCGTATTATATGCTTATTATGCATTATGTGAATAAGTGTGAATTGTTGAATTTTGTGTATGAGAATTGTGAAGAGATATTATGTATATGGTTGTTGAGAAATATAAATTAAGTACTTTTGGGGTATTAAATATTTTTAAATACCTTTGAGACTTTTTAGAGAAATTAAGAAATATTTTTGAAGTATTATTAAGCAAAGATAAAATTTACATTTTCATAAGAAGATAGCATCTCGGGAGTAATCCGAGGTGTCGGTTTTTCCACATCCGGATAAATGTGGAGGGTGATTAGAGCTACTACTACTAAGAAGTACAGTTTGGATCTATGATCCCTTTTAAGCAAGATTTGGATCT